GCCTAAAAGCCTGATAGGAAATCCTTTGTATGTTATTTTATTTTATTTTTTTGTCTAGTTGCCCTTAATATTTTTTCTTTGTCATTGACTTTTGCCAGCTTTACTACTATATGCCTTGGAGAGGGTCTTTTCATGTTGATATATTTAGGAGATCTATTTATTTCATTCACTTGTATTTCCAGCTCCTTCCCCAGGTTTGGGAAGTTCTCAGATATTATTTCTTTGAACAAGTTCTCTCCTCCTTTTTTCCTCTCTTCTCCCTCTGGAATACCTATAATCCTTATGTTGGATTTCCTAATTGAGTTGGATATTTTTCAGAGAGTTTCTTCATTTCTTTTTAGTCTTAGTTCTCTTTCTTCTTCCATCTGGAGCGTTTCTGCATTCCTGTCCTCGATATTGCTAATTCTTTCCTGCATATTGTCAGCTCTGATGCTTAAGGCTTCCAGATTTGTCTTTACCTCCTCTATTGTGTTTTTCATCTCTAAGATTTCTGATTGGTTTTTTTTTACAGTTTCAATCTCTTTTGTGAAGAAACTCCTGATTTCATTGAATTGTCTGTCTATGTTTTCTTGTATTTCATTAAGCTTTTTTATGATGGCTATTTTGAATTCTCTGTCATTAAGGTTATACATTTCTGTGCTTTCTGGGTTGACTTCTGGGTGCTTGTCATTTTCCTTTTGGTCTGGAGATTGAATATATTTTTGCATGGTGCCTGTTGGTGTTGGCTTACTTTTCCTCATGGTGAAAATATATGGTCGCAGTTTCCTCTTGCTGCTGCTGGGTGGGGGTCAAGGGCGGTGTATTCTGGCTTGCTTCAACCTGCAGGCACTCTCGTCTGCCCCTGGCTGATCTTAGGCATGGCTGAGTGGAGGCTGCTGGGCGGGAAGCATGGGAACAACTGGAGCTGGAGCGTGGGAACAGCTGAGACTGGAGCACAGCTAGGCTGAAGCAGCTGGGGCTCGGTTGTGGGTGGGTTGAAGCAGCTGCAGCTGAAGTGCCAGTGGGCCAAAGAAGCAGGGGCTAGAGCGCTGCTGGGCCGAAGAAGCTGGAACTGAAGTGCTCTGGGCTGAAGAAGGAGGAGCTGGAGTGCACTGGGCCAAAGAAGGAGGAGCTGGAGGGCCACTGGGCCAAAGAAGCTGGAACTGGAGTGTGCTGGGCCGAAGCTGCTGGTGCCAAGTCAGCTGGAGCCTGAGCACAGGCCAAGCCGAAGCCACTGGAGCCAGGGGTTGAGGGGGCGGTCAAGCCGAAGGAGCTGGGCCATGGCTTGGTCCAGCCAGAGCAGCTGGGGCTATGGCATGGTGGGGCCTGAGTGCAGGGGCACAGGCTTGCCCCACTGCTGGTCAGGCTGGGCACCTGGGGGCCACCGCCCATGGGGGTGGGTCGTGGTCACACTGCCCCTGCCCGTGGGGCCCAGGCACCTGGGGGCCACTGACCCTGGGGATGGGGCTGAGCTGAAGCACTGCTGTGCTGAAGTGCCAGTCGGATGGGCTGGGTGGGGGAGGGGCGCTTACTTTCACCTCCCCAATCTCAGAGGTTTCTCACTTAGCTGTCGCTCTCTGCTTTCCTGAGGGGCCAGCCTGTTGAAACTACCCTTGCAACAGTTCCACTCTCTCCGCAGGGGGATCCCCTCAGGCTGTGAGGGGTCTTGGAGAGTACCGGATTTCACGTGGCGAGCCTCCCCTCCCCCTCCTCTGGGAGCCGCAAAGCCTCAGTCTCTGGGTCGCAGTCCTTGGGGAAGGAAAAGAGCTCCTCTTATCCCCTTCCACTTCCTATGGGGATTCCAGCACCTCTGTCCTCAGGTGTATGGCTGCCTGGGTGCCTCAGATGTTCCCTGTGTTGTGTGAATAGCTTCTGTTGGAATGTGAATGTCCTTTTTGTTGTGTCTTAGAGGGGGAGAGTTGAATGGGGGAAGCTCACTCTGCCATGATGCTGACGTCACTCGGGTTTGTTTTGTATTTTGTTTTATTGTGTTTTTGTTTTTTAGGAAGATTGGCCCTGAGCTAACATCTGTTGCCAATCTTCCTCTATTTTTTTGTTTTTTTCTCCCCAAAGCCCCAGTACCTATTTGTATATCGTAGTTGTAGGTCCTTCTACTTCTTCTATGTGGGACGCTGCCTTACCATGGCTTGATAAGCGGTGAGTAGTCCATGCCCAGGATCCGAACCAATGCATGAACTTAACTGCTATGCCACTGGGCCAGCCCCCTCATCAGATATCTTGACTCAGCCTTTGACACAAAGAAGGGGAAACCATGAGGACTTTTTCTAGCAGTGGCAGCCATTGCAGCAAGATGGATTCCAGGGCGACAGTGCTACTGGTGGCATTTCATGTCAATGATAACTGTGTCAAAGCCATGAACTATAACATTCATACTTGGAGGCAGCAGGAACATAGGTATACTAATCAAACCAGTTCTGTGGCAAGATTTGGGGCCATTGTAGCTGGTGTGTGACCTTCTGAGCCTGGTTCTCCAGATGCTCCGTGCTTTTGAAAGGTATGACTGTCAACTTAAAAAGCAAAGCTGCCTGTTATTTTATCTCAAAATGAGTTCATTCAGAAATATCCAAGAATTGCAAATGGGGTTGTGCATGCTACGGAAAACTATAGGCAAATCCAGAAAAGACAAGAGGGGAGCTGCTTTTATAAAGAAAAAGGGGGAGTAGAGAGTGGCTGTTCTAAATAAAGTCCACTGGGGGGAAAGTAGCAGCTCATGGTGGCAACACCTTTTCATTGGCTGAGCTGCAGTATTTCTCATTGGCGGGGCATTGCCAGGTGGGGAGAGAAATCTTCCTTCAGTAGTAAAGTAGTTTTACTTCCTGTCCAAAATGCAAGCGTCCCTCCCTTCCTGATTGGTATAATTGACGATGTGTGATAGGGTGTGAGAGCACCCCCCTGCAGGACCTCTCAGCTCCAATTTAGTTAAGGTTTCTTTTATTAATTTCCACACCATTATCACTTTCATGAAATCCTTTTCTGCTTAACTCAACAAGACTTGGTTTTTGTTATTTGCAACTAAGAACTGTGAGTGAGGCCACAATATAGCCAATCATCAGAAAAGGACTTGAACCCTGAACTGGACAGCCATCAGTACCCTCTCCAGCTCATCTCTACTTCTCTCTCTGTTTGCACTTTTTGTCCTTCTCTGTAGACTTCTGCTTCTCCATTTATGGGGCAATCAGGAGAGATTACAAATGCCTGAATTTACCTGTCCAGACCAAGTTATACTGAGAGTGACCCACAGGCCCTCAGCCTCAGTTCCAGGTTCCCTAATCCAATCATGAATCCTCACTGGGCAGGAGGTGGTAGAGTATAAGTTGGGCTGCTGGAGCCCATGCCCCTGTGACTCTATGGATTCAGGGACCATTCTTAGGAAAAGGTGATCCACTGTGAGCTGGGAAGACATCCCAAAAGAAGTCTACTCTAGGCGCCTGGAGTTTCTCAGTCATGGCATGCTGTGCTCTCTCTCATATCTCTGCTCCCAATTACAAACAGATTATCCTTTACAACAAATGCTTTAAAGGACTCAGCACAACTGTGTAATGCTACACACCACCCCCCAGCCCCCAGCATCCTTATCTGCAAATGCGTTGCTAACTCTACACAGTAAATGACCAGATATGAGAGGAAAAAAGGGGTTCACTCAAATAACACTGCAATAACCCCAGTTTCCGAGCTAAGAAAATAGGAAGAAAAATCTTTTAACGACTGAATTTTCAAATACATAAACATGAGTCCAGATCAGCAAGGTGATGCAATTTGAAGTCTCAGGGAATTTTCTCTGGGACTTGTCCCCACCCGGATTGCTTTATCTCAAAGTTCTGACCCCGGAGTTGGATGATATACTTTGTCATCTTTGTTGGGTCCACAGGACCAGGAAAAAAGTGAGACAATTACTCTCTGCTTTTCTCTAATGATGTTCTCAGGGAATCTGGTCCCAGTGGCCATGGAAGCTCCTATACATACTGTTTCTAATTCCCCCATACATCCTCCCTGCACAGAGGTCTAAGGCCTTGACCCTCTGCTCCTCACTTGCTCAGGACCTACCTATATTTCCAAGACTTTCCAAACCTTATAATAAAGAGGAGCATTGGCCTGTTCCTCAAAGGTGAAGAACACTTGATAGCAGCAGCACTAATTTCTCCCAGGTGAGATTATAACAATGGGGATGTCAATACTTGTTTACTAATGAGTGAAGATCTTTGAGAATCTCCTTTGTTAAATCTTCCAGATCCAGGGAGAAGCATTAAGAGTCTTGAATCCATCAGCTGGAGCTTGAGATAAACCCAGTAATAATCAGCTGTTTCTCTTGTCTCTAAGAGCTACTAAGAAGTAGAAGAAAGCCTGGGAATGTTTAAAGAGACATACATAATGGCAGAGAGGGCTGAGTATGTGCCTGTGTGTTGTATTTATGTTATATTTGATACAATTTAGACAAGGAGTCCAGTGGGACCAGCATCATCTAGGACTGGGAGTTGGAAGTTGAGGGTGTAGAGACTAAGGACAGATCCTGACCGAGCAACTCTAATACAGGTTTTGTTAACACGACCATGGCTGGAGCTTGGATTGTTGCATCCACACCCCTAGCTTCTAGGTTTCTGACCTCTGCCTCTCTTCTCTGCATCTGAGTCCAGGCCCATGGGAGTGGCCAACCAGTCGAGTGTCTCCGAGGTCCTCCTCCTGGGGCTCTCCAAGCAGCCCCAGCAGCAGCAGCTCCTCTTCATGCTCTTCCTGAGCATGTACCTGGCCACGGTCCCGGGAAACCTGCTCATCCTCCTGGCCGTCAACTCCTGCCTGCACACTCCCATGTACTTCTTCCTCAGCAACCTGTCCTTCGTGGACATCTGCTTCTCCTCCACCACAGTCCCCAAGATGCTGGCCAACCACATACTGAGGAGTCAGACCATCTCCTTCTCCGGGTGTCTCACACAGATGTATTTTGTTACATGTTCATGGGTATGGACGGTTTCCTCCTGGTGGTGATGGCCTATGACCGCTTTGTTGCTGTATGCCACCCCTTACACTACTCAACAAAGATGACCCATCAGCTCTGTGCCCTGCTGGTTACTGAGTCATGTGTCATTGCCAACCTGGATGTCCTATTGCATACTTTGCTGATGGCTCGACTCTCATTCTGTGCAGACAACGCCATCCCCCACTTCTTCTGTGATGTGACCCCCCTCCTGAAACTCTCCTGCTCTGACACACACCTCAATGAGATGATGATTCTTATCGAGGCAGGGCTGATAATGATCACTCCATTTATTTGCATCCTGGTATCATATATCCTTATCACCTGTGCTGTCCTGAGAGCGCCATCCACAAAGGGAAGATGGAAAGCCTTCTCCACTTGTGGCTCCCACCTGGCTGTGGTTTCCCTCTTCTATGGCACCATCATATTTCTGTATTTCAACTCTTTATCCACCCACTCCACTGAGACAGATGTAGCAGCTGCTGTGATGTTCACAGTGGCGACTCTATGCTGAACCCCTTCATCTACAGTCTGAGAAACAAAGACATAAAAAGGGCTCTTGGAAAAGTGGCTGTTATGAATTTTTTTTTGCTCAATAATGAAATGGGCTAAGAAAATCACAGAGGGAACTAATTTCTAAGAAAACCATGTTTGTTTCTTCTATTGTGCAGAATGTAGCATTTGTTTTTTGTAAGAGAATCATCTACTATCTATCTTGGGAGAACAAAACTTGATACTGCCTCTTCAGGTTAAAGATGGAAAGAGAGATCCTTTTACCAAATAACTTGACTATTCCAGCTGTCAATGCCCTGCAGCCAAAACCTGGGAACACTCCTCTTGTTGAATAAGTTGAGTTTATTACTCATTATAACAAGGGAGAATACACACCATGGGGGAATAGTGAGGCATCTCATCTTAGTAGGAAGGTGCTAGAAAGGACTTATTAAAAGATTTGGGCTTGTGTGAGGTGATTTTGGTGAGGATTTAAGGAATTGGGTTTTTGCTCTGGATTAAATGCCATCACAAAGTGGGGATAATTTTCATTGAATAACTTAATCTATTTTATCTATAAGGAGGGAAGACTAGACTGAGGCCAAAGCTGTGATTGGCAAAGAAGTAGCAGTCACTCATATCAGCCCTCACAGGGTGAATTTAGTCATTTTTGTGGCTTGGACAGTGTTCATGTTTTTGTGTTCGGACATGATTACAGAGTGGTCTTGTTCTGTCTTGCTCCATAATAGTCACAGAGTAGCCTTGTGTGATACTGTGAAATACTGTGTGTTTATCAGGAGAGTACCAAGACCTAGCTGTGAGTGCCAGGCCAGCTCCTGGATATCAGGGCTGATTTCTCTTTCTTACAGCAGAGACACAGAGATATGAACACATCTGATGGGAGGGTCAGACTGGTGTTGGGACAGGAAGAGGAAAGGTTCATTCAGGGCTCTAGGATTCCCTAATTCTGCCGCTCATTCAAGCTAGTTATTTTTTATCTTCTTATCTGAGTTTTATGTATCACATGACATTTCAACAAGAATATGGGTAAGTTAGACAAGAAATAAATATCTTCCAAAATCTCAATGCCCAGCCGTGTCAATCAACTGCATCTTTTTTTCACCTTCTGTTCCATTTATGTCAATGCATTAAGATATTTTACATAGATACTAATTTACATCCTGATTTTCCACTTTCATTTTATAATAAAGCTTTTCTAAATTGCTATATAGTTTCCACAATTTTATTTCCATCAAGTTGCTCTAGCAAAATGTATTCACTAGTAATTCTGTTTCTGAATTAAAACATAAAGGAAACTTACTATTTAAAAGTATGACTTTAAATTTATTTTAAAAATCATTGCATAAAATAAAAAATTGACAAATATATGAAACTGGTTAAAACATCACTGAACCAGGATGCTCTGGATTTTGAGAAACAAAGAAGAAAATAGAGCAGTTACCCTAAATTTCAGAGAGATAGGTAAGATGACATCTTGTATGAAAACTGACAGAATTCAGAATCAGAAGCTGTTTCTGAGTTTATCATATGATTTTCTTTTTTATATTTTATCATATTTGTATATTGATATGTTTGCCTAAAGGAATAAATGGTAGCATTTTCAATTTTCAGCCTATGTATCCAAGAATTCTTCATAATAAGATGGAAAGTACCTATTCCTTGAAAGTTTGAAAGAAATCCCCAGCCTTAGTTGTATGTACTTTGGTGCTCTCTTATTAGATACATGTATGTTTATAATTGTTATATATTCTTGTTTTATCCTTTTATCATTATGAAATGTCCCTCTTTATCTGTAGTAACATTTTTTGTTTTAAAGTCTATTTTGTCTGATGTTAGTGCAGCCACTCCAGCTTTCTTGTGGCTGCTGTTTGCATGTTACATCTTTTTCCATTCTTTTACTTTCAACAGATTTGTGTCTTTGAATCTAAAGTATGTACCCTGTAGACAATATATACTTTGATCCTGTTTTTTAATCCAATGTGATAATCTTGGCCTTTTGGTTGGATTGTTTAATCCACTCACCTTTAATATTATTATTGATATAGTTGGATTTATGTCTGCCATTTTACTTTTTGTTTTCTGTATTTCTTGTGTCTTTACTGCTTGCTTTTGCATTAAGTGAATATATTCTAATGTAGCATTTTAACCCCAGTAGTGATTTTTTTGGATTTTTTTAGTGGTTGCTCTAGGTTTTACCATATACATCTTCAATTATCAAAATCAGCTTCAGATTGATACTAGCTTAATTCCTGTGATACATAAAAATGCTTCTTCTATATAGCTCTATTTCCTTTCCCCTTTTGTGTATTATTTATGTATTATTCCTTTCCATGTTATATCTATCAATGTTACAAAACCAACAATACATTGTTACAGTTATTACATTACCATCTGTCGTCATTTCCTTAGCCCATTACAATTTTACTCTCACCAACCTCTTTTGTTATTTTATTGGCAAATATATTACACATCTATTACATTTCTTTATGCTATAGGCCCAACAATACATTACATATATATTATTTTATCCAATTGCTTTTTAAATCATTTAAGAGAGGAAAGGAGAAAAAATGCATTTATAGTGTCTTTCATAATTACTTGATCAACTTTATCAGTGCTCTTTGTTTCATTTATGTGGATCTGAATTGCCATCTGGGGTCACTTGCTTTTAGCCTGAAGGAATTCTTTTAGTATTTCTTGTAAAGTAGGTCTCTACTGGTCACAAATTCTCCTAGTTTTTGTTTACCTAGGAAAGTTCTTGTCACCTTTGTTTTTAAAAGATGGCGTTGCTGGATATAGGATCCTTGATTTACAGTTTCATTCCCGAGCATTTTTCTCTTAAATTTTTTTTTAAGTGTTGACTCAATAGTAAGTGTTGACTCAATAGTAAATGGTTACACAATATTTTTTGAGCACGTCAGACACCTTTTCACAAATGCTGCAGCTAGCTTTCCCCAGTTTATGCTTTGCCATTGGTTTTGTTAATGGTTTTTTGGACATAGTATATATTTTAATTTTATATTATTAAAACCAGCAAGCATTTATTTTGTTTTTTCTTCCACTTCTCTTTTGCTTTATATTTTCTTGCCCATTCTGACATTACTTAAATCTCCAGCTATATTTTTTTCTAGTTGTTTTAGTTTTACAGTTTAAATCAATAATTTGTGTTTATGGCTCTAATTTCATTTCCTCATATATTTATAAAATTGCTCCACTTTTTTTTTAATTGAGGTAACATTGGTCTATAACATATAAATTTCAGGTGTACATCATTATATTTCAACTTCTGTGTACAATACATCGTTTTCCCCACCAAAAGTGTTGTTTCCATGGTCACTGTACAAATGTCCCCCTTTACCCCTTTCACCCTCCCCCACCTCCTTCCACTCTGGTAACCACCAATCTGTTCTTTGTATCTATGTGTTTGTTTGTTGTTGTTGTTGTTGTTTATCTTCCACATATCAGTGAAATCATATGGTATTTGTCTTTCTCCATCTTATTTCACTTAGCATGATACTTGCAAGGTCCATCAATATTGTTCCAAATGGCAAGACTTCATCTTTTTTATGGCTGAGTAGTATTCCATTTTATATATATACCACATTTTCATCATCCATCGCTGGGCACTTAGGTTGTTTCCATGTCTTGGCTACTGTAAATAATGCTGTAACGAACATAGGGGTGCATATATCTTTTCAAATTAGTGTTTTCATATTCTTTGGATAAATACCCAGAAGTGGAATAGCTAGATCATAGTTTTAATTTTTTGAGGACTCTCCATACTGTTTTCCATAGTGGCTGCACCAATTTACATTCCCACTAGCAGCGTACAAGGTTTCTGTTTTCTCCACATCCTTTCCAACACTCCAGTTACTTTTTAATAATCTTTCATTACTTCACTTATTTGTAACACCACTTTTATCATTTGCAAAATGCTAATCATTATATCTAATGTGTGTTGAGAATTTATTATGTGCTAGGCAGTTGTCCAAGACTTTTCTCTATCATATCTATTTTAATAGTTGCAGCCATGAGGTAAGTATCACTATCTTCCCCATTCAAGGCCATCCCTGGGTTTAGAGAGATTAAGTGATTATCTCAAGGTCCTGCAGTTAGGACATAGTGGAACCAGGATTCTGACATATCCAGCTCCATGACCAAGTACACCCTCTGAATGACTCTGTAAATTCATATAAAGATATATAGATATAGATATATAAATATAGGTATAGATGGATATAGATATATTTTTAGATTCTCTGTTCTGATACACTGACTGAACATTTATTATTGTGCTAATATCATGCTATATTAGTTTGAGGCATTTTTAAGCTTTATAATACTTTGCAATATGTGATAGATTATTCTTGCAAAATTATGTCAATATACAGGTATAGGAATGTTTATTATTATAAACATGCGTAGACATAACACTTGGAAAACTCCAGGAGTCCATCTAAAGGGAAGCAATTGAGTAAATTATGAACCATCTTTATAATGGAATCCAATACAGCCACTTAAAGAAGACAGTAGATTTGTATGTTCTGATGTAGGAAGAATTTGTAAGATATAATTTAAAGTGTTTTACAGAATGATCCCTTCTGTGTAGATAAAAATAAAGGATTTTATTGGCATAAATTTTTTAGGAGAGATACCTAAAAACTCATAATCAGTTCCACCTTTTCTTGTTACTATATATGGACTTACCTCATTCTTTTAAAGAACTGAATACCATATAAGTTTATCAAATTTATCAAAATAAGTAAATAAAGAACCCCCAGCCTATTTAGTTGACATACAATTTTATTTAAATAGCTGTGATTGATGAACATTTAGGTTGTTCCACTGTTTTATCATTACAAATTTGCTGCATAAGACATCCTTGTGCATATAACCTTGCTCACATGTGCAAAAATATCCTTTCAGACCACACTATCCCCATTTCTTAGTTCTTTAAATTTATCCTTTTTCCTAGAATGTAAGCCCCATAGGGACAAGAATTTTATCTGTTTTGTTCGCTATTTGTAATAAATTGCTGTTTAGCACATATTCAGCCCCCACGCCCTCTTGGGATAACATATTCTTTCCTATTCTGTTGA